GATCTACGTTTGAACAATTTCTAAATCGAGGTAAGTTATTGACAAACAACTTGATGAAATAAGAATATCAGCAGTCTCGTTTAAAGTCATCATTCCGTAAGTTCTATGGTCGATACAATGACCTAGTCAGCAAATACAATCTATCATTAAGTCAAACGGTGAATGACTTTTTTCATACTAATTGTTAGGACATTATTTACACACTGAATTGTCGACGGATTTTTCCTTTTTTTCCCCCCGAACATGACAAGGAGCACACGGCGGGTGTGACCGTTCGGCAGGGGATGCTCACTCCTCCATGGCACCTGATCCCACCTCGGGTATCTTAGAGGTCAGTGATTGCTCTGCTCCTATTTTGTAATGATTAATGGAATTTTGAGCTCGAATACTGTTCTTTATCTCCACATATTTCTTCTATAATAAAAAACTACTAAAAGTTTAGAGAATTTTTGCGTTCAATATCTTAGCGTTTAATTAAACGCCCCGTTGTAAACAAAATTGTCGTCTTGTCAACCTCTCAAAGGCATATTAATGATAGATAGTGCTAACTAGGGAAGATGTGTTTATTTTTTACGCAAAATTGATTTTATTATTAATAATCTAGTACGCATTAGCCTCAATAAAACCTCCATAAGCAAATCATAACGCTTGGTAGTGTCATTTGAATGATACGAAATTGAACCCTTACAGGACAGACGTTAATTTAAATATCAATACTTAGAATTCTTATTAATTTGAGTTATTTAATTGAAATAATTAATATAATAAAGAGAGATGTTTTAGCAATATAATAAAGGAGTTATTGAACTTATATTGGTGAATATTGGCACTCGTTGTCTACAAATGCACTCGCAAGCTCGTGCATTTGTACAGCCAACTCGTGTCAGTATTCACCAAATGAATATAAGTTCAATATACGTATATTATCGTATACCTAATGGGTTGAGAATTCAATGCAAATATGGAACAAATTTTGACAAGAGGTCTATGGGCCACATCGCTCACCTGAGCACATTGGCTAGACAGAGCACAAATCAGTTCAGTATTAAAAAGATTACTGGGGGGGGGGGGTTGAATTTTATACTATCTGATGATGCTTTCATGTCAATATAACAAATGGCTTTAATGTACTTGAGAAGATTTTTTTAAAAAAATTCCCATATATTCGTTTGTAAAAATTTGATCCCCCATTGTAGCTCCTCCCTATTCCAGGGGTCATCATTTGAACAAACTTGAATCTACACTACCTGAGGATGCTTCCATATCAATATGACTAAACATAGCTTTTCTGTTATTGAGAAGAAATATTTTTTCTGTATGTGCTTATGTAAAACTTTCGACCCCCCACTGGGCCCCACCCTACCCCCGGGGGTCATCATTTGGACAAAATTGAATTTACACTACCTGAGGATGCTTTCATAGCAAAATGACTAAACAATATGATTTTCAGTTCTTGAGAAGAAGATATTTTCCTATATGTTCCTATGTAAAATTTTCGATTCCTCATTGTGGCCCGACCCTATCCCCGGGGTCATCATTTTAACAAACTTGAATCTACACTACCTGAGGATGCTTCCATGTCAAAATGACTAATCATGGCTTTGCTGTTCTTGAGAAGAAGATTTTTCCTATATATTTCTATGTAAAAGTTTGATCCTCCATTGTGGCCCCGCCCTACCCCTGGGGGTCATCATTTGAACAAACTTAAATCTACACTACCTGAGGATGATTCCATATAAATAGGACTCATCATGGCTTTGCTGTTCTTGAGAAGAAGATTTTTAAAGGTTTTTCCTATATATTTCTATGTAAAAAGTTGATCCTCCATTGTGGCCCCACCCTACCCCTGGGGGTTATGATTTGAACAAACTTGAATCTACAATACCTGAGGATGCTTCCATATAAATATGACTCATCATGTTTTTGCTGTTCTTGAGATTTTTAAAGATTTTTCCTATATATTTCTATGCAAAACTTTGATCCTCCATTGTGGCCCCATCCTACCCCCGGGGGTCATGATTTGAACAAAACAGAATCTACACTACCTGAGGATGCTTCCATATAAATTTGACTCATCATGACTTTGCTGTTCTTGAGAAGAAGATTTTTAAAGGTTTTTCTTATATATTTCTATGTAAAAATTCGATCCTCCATTGTGGTCCCGCCCTACCCTCGGGGGTCATGATTTGAACCAAACAGAATCTACATTACCTGAGGATGCTTCCACATGAGTTTCATCTTTCCTGGCCCTGTGGTTCTTAAGAAGAAGATTTTTAAAAGATGATATTAATTTTTCTCTAATTCTTTAATATCTCCCCTTGAAAGAAGGCGTGGCCGTTCATTTGAACAAACTGGATTCCCCATCACCCAAGGATACTTTGTGGCAAGTGTGGTTGAAATTGACCAAGTGGTTCTTGAGAAGAAGTCGAAAATGTAAAAAGTTTACAGACAGTCAGACAGACGGACGCCGGACAAAAAGTGATCAGAAAAGCTCACTTGAGCATTCGGCTCAGGTGAGCTAAAAAGTTATTTAATGAATATTTAAAGATAGATTTACACAACAACATAGTTTTTCAAGTGGCTGACTCTTGAATCAACATTTTTGTACGTAATAGGGATATGGGACCGGTAGAACATTTCTTAGACCCTGCATTGTATGCTTGTTTCTAAGAATTTTTATCGATATGAATTTTCTTTGGCCAAATAATTAGATATTCATCAAGCTACCTTCATATATATTGTATTTCTCAAAACAATTATGAAATACTTGTACTGTATGGATCTGTATAGTAACAAGAGGCCCATGGGCCACATCGCACACCTAAGGACCATGGCTAGGAAAAAAGAAAATTCAGTATACCATTGAAAAGCATTAATGCATAAGTGGGGGGGGGGGGGGGTGCTTACGATTTGAACAAAATTGAATCTACATTAACAAATGATGCTTACATATTTCTTTGACTGTGACTTTTTTCCCTACAAGTTTGAACTTTCATTATGGTCCCACCCTACCCCTGGGGTCATGATTTCAACAAATCTGAATCAGCACTATCTGAGGATGCTTCCATATAAATATGACCAATCATAGCTTTGCTGTTTTTGAGAAGAAGATTTTTAAAAATTTTCCTATGTATTCCTATGCATAACTTTAATCATCAATTGTGGCCCCACACTATCCCCAGGGGTTCATGATTTTTATCATACATGACTCTACACTACCTTAGAATACTTCCAAGTAGTTAATAAGCCAATACAGCGTTGCTGTTCTTGAGATTTCTCATATATACTCCTATGCAAAACTTTGATCGTCCATTGTGGACCCACCCTACCCCTGGGGGTATTTGAACAAACTTGATTCTACACCACATGAGGATGCTTGCATATAAATGTGACCATTCATGGCTTTGCTGTTCTTGAGATTATGATTGATTATTATTTTTCTTGAGAAGAAGACTTGTAAAAATATTTCTTGTATTTTCCTGTATAAAGATTTGATCGTCCATTGTGGCCCCATCCTACCCCTGGGGATCATGATTTGAACAAACTTGAATTCACACCACCTAAGGATGCTTGCATATAAATATGACCAATCGTGGCTTTGCTCTTCTTGAGAAGAAGATTTGTTCCTATATATTCCTATGTAAAACTTTGATTGTCCATTATGGCCCCACCCTACACCTGGGGGTCATGATATTTATTAAATTTGAATCTACACCACCTGAGGATGCTTGTATATAAATATGACCATTCATGGCTCTTCTGTCCTTGAGAAGAAGATATTTAATGATTTTTACTATATATTGTAAAACTTTGATTGTGGCCCCACCCTACCCCAAGGGGTCCTGATTTGAACAATCTTGAATCTACACCACCTGTAGATGCTTCCATATAAATATAACCGATCATGGCTTTGCTGTTCTTGAGAAGAATATTTTTAAAGCTTTTTCCTATGTATTCCTATTTAAAACTTTGATCGTTCATTGTTGTTCATTGTTGCCCCACCCTACCCCTGGGGCTCATGATTTGAACAAACTTGAATCTTGAATCTACACTACCTCACAATGATTCAACATAAGTTTCATATTTCTAAGCACAGTGGTTATTGAGAAGAAGATCTTCATATGATGCCATTGATTTTTCACAAATTCATAATTACCTCCCCTTGAAAGAAGGTGTGACTCTCGAATCCCCTTTACCCAAAAGATACTTTGTGGCATGTTTAGTTGAAATTGGCCCCGTGGTTCTTGAGGAGAAGATGAAAATGTAAAAGGTTCACGACAACGCCGACGATGACAACGCCAACAACGCTGACAATGACACAACGGACAAATTCTGATCAGAAAAACTCATTTGAGCGTTCGGCAAAGGTGAGCAAAAACAATAACCAACATCTATTCAATATACTTCATTAAATACATTTTCCAATCATATCTTGCCACTCATTCTCAAAACGGCAATATGTAACTTATCAATCAATCGAGAAAATTTACCCTGTCAAATAAACATTTTAATTATACTTTTTATCAAAACACAAAAGATAATTATTTAGCAATTTTTAGCAAAGAGTAAATCAAATTATGAAATTAATTTATATTAGTCATAAAAAAAATCAAGTCGATGGTCAATATAACCGAGCAATGGTCGAGTTCATATCCCTAACAAAAATTGTTATGTGATACATATGTCATTTTTATAATATCACATATTATCAGAATTGTCTTTTTTTTTTGGTTATTTAATATAGCTGAAGTGTTCAATACAAAAGAAATAAGAAAAAATATTAAGAAGATATTTTGAAATAATGTTATTCAGCGTATGATAAAAAACCATTCACTGCAATTACCGGAGTTCATGAAAAATGATAGTCTCAATTTAATTAAATTGGTTGCAAAAGTAATTTAAACATATAATAAATAAAATATCTATTTTTGATCAATCGGGAAACATGAAAGATTGAGCTTATTATAGTTCACTTAGAAGAAAACTTAATATAGTGTGCCTTAAGCATTAGCATATATCCCCTCCGATGAAAAAGATCCACCAAGTATTTGGTAACACCTCCTGTACTCTTCCTGAAATATAATGAATAGCAAGAAGAAATGAAGCTCACATGTATTGCAAACCAGTTCAACGTAACAGGATTAACATCATAAGATGGAAAGTTACTACAAAGTACTTATATAATATTATACCATACATAGAAGATAAATAATACAATTGGTATTAACTAGCTAATATAGGACAAAATATACAATGACAGAAGGATAAAATGAATAAACTATCACCATTTGTCAAGTATCATCAATTCTTGATGAGAAAAGATACATAATTCCTGATTTGAATAAAAAGAGTTAACAGCCAGAAGACAAATATCGTTATAATAGGATAGCATTCCTAAAAAACAGTAAACAAGTTGCATGTTTTTGGTGAGAAATGACTAGATTTTTATTTCTTTAGGATATGTACAAGAAAAAACGAATGATACTTGAAGGATAACGATTAGCAATCACATAGTTATTTTTAATCAAATCCTCAAATTTACAAACAATTCTTTACGCAGTTACGTTAAGGCTTCCCAAAAAATATCGCAGTGTACTCTGTGCCTCCACTTCTCTGAACTACAGCTTTTGACATCATAATCAAAAAATGACGTAAAGTCACTGCAAACTTGAGCTGTTATGATTAAGGAGAGTGTCATAATCTTTACACATTATTTCAATCTGAACATAAAATGTCAGAAAGCTATGTAAAATAAACGTGGTTTAATCGTATTTTTAAAATCTTAAATATCTAAATATTTTAAATACTTTGCTTTATTACTCCTGTTTTCAGTCAGCGTGTTCAAAACATATACGAAATTTATACGGTTGACATTTACTCTTTCAACACCCGTGGATAGAGTAGAATTTAAAATATGTGTATAAAAGAGTCTGGCGCAGGCGATTAATGAGAAATAATTTGAGATCTTTTGTGGAAATCTGTAAGAGGAGTTTCTCCTCAAACTGACTCTTGCCTGGGAAAAATGTGTGATGGCTTTGTTTTAATACAGATGAAAAATACCCTCAAATTTGTCGGTAAGTTGAATTTATTGTTAAATATGTTGTACACAAGTAATAGTATAACTTTTCCCAAGCACATTTCGGGTTCACAAGGATACGACGAGTTTATTTCTTTGACAAAAAATTAATAATAATTATGTTAATCGGCTGTGTCGAAGCGACTAATGTGACAAACATCAAAAATTATGAATGAAGTCGAGTGATATCATAATAAATATGTTTATATATAGCTAAGAGAACTCTTTATATAAATTGGCCGTACCTAACTACATAACTTACAAATTAAAATCAAAACCGATCTTGCAATGCAGTGTTATGTTTTGAACGCATTTAAAGCTTCGGAAAGTCTTAACATTGCTGCCTACTTTGTAAAGCCCTTCATTTTGTTTTTAAATTAAAAACAAGAGGCCCAGGGGCAACATCGCTCACCTGAGCACTATGGCTAGGAAAAAGCAGAAATCAGTTCAGTCTTGAAAGGTTGAAAAGTTTAAATAAAAAAGTGGTTCGGGGGTGGGGGAGGGGGGTGGGTGGGTGGGTGGGTCTTGATTTGAACAAATTTGAATCTACATTATCTGAGGATGCTTCCATTCAAATATGACCAATCATGGCTTTGCTGTTCTTGAGTAGAAGATTTTTAAAGATTTAACTATGTATTCCTATGTAAAACTTTGATCGCCCATTGTGGCCCCACCTGACCCCCGGGGGTCATGATTTGAACAAACTTGAATCTACACTACCTGAGGATGCTTCCATGTAAATATGACCAATCATGGCTTTGCTGTTCTTGAGAAGAAGATTTTTAAAGATGTTTCCTATATATTCCTATGTAAAACTTTGATCGCCCATTGTGGCCCCACCTGACCCCCGGGGGTCATGATTTGAACAAACTTGAATCTACTCTACCTGAGAATGCTTCCACATAAGTTTCATATTTTCAAGCACAGTGGTTCTTGAGAAGAAGATTTTTTGATGATGTCATTAATTTTTCACGAATTCTTAATTATCTCCCCTTGGAAGAAGGTGTGGCCCTTCATTTGAACAAACTTGAATCCCCTTTACCCAAGGATACTTTGTGGCAAGTTTGGTTGAAATTGGCCAAGTGGTTCTTGAGAGGAAGATGAAAATGTGAAAAGTTTACAACAACGACAACGTTTACAACGACGACAGACAACGGACAAATTTTGATCAGAAAAGCTCACTTGAGCCTTTGGCTCAGGTGAGCTAAAAATGATAATTGCAAACCGCGCCAATGAAAACTTACAAGCGTTGAGATGACTTCTGGTCTCCTTGTTTGTATCTGTCGGACTCTTGTAAAAATATCCACCTCTCCGTCCATTCGAAGCTGTTGAAGGGCGTTATGTAAAACACAGAATATCCCAGCTGGACCAGCACCATTACTTTATAATGAAGATACTAAAATTATGTCATTGCATCAGTTGAGAAGAAGAAACATATTATAAATGTAAAAATGTAATTGACGAAACGTTTTACTTACTCTGAATTAAAAATCAAAGATCTTGGTAGGATGCATTTTAAGACAATTCTGATATAATTTGTAATCTAATTTTTAAAGTCTACCATTAACTGTCCTATGGATGTCAAGAACTATAATTGTTATCGCTTAACGAAGGTGCTAAGGTGACATAAGGCGATTATGATGGCACGACATTGCGATGACGATGTTACGATAGCACGATAAAGAGATTGTGAACATCCTGTCGTCTTAATCATACCATTCCTCCATCGTCATCGTACAATCACTTCATCGTGCCATCGCACAATGTATCATTGTCATTCCGCTATCACTCCTGTATCATTATACCATCGCTTCTTCTACATTGCGTTATTGGGTCATCGCACTATCGACCCAAACCTCGATGGTGCGATGATGCAAAAGTCAACTACATAGCCCTATCCGGATTCCAGACAAAATCTTCACCAATCAATCTACTGTAAATCACATTTTATTCGCTATAAACCTCATTTTCCTATAATAACGCGAGACGGTCTCCTGGGAAAATTTTATTCGCGCTGGTATTTTATAAGCATTTATAAAGCAAAGTACTAGCATTTATGAAAATTTGTCTCACTTCTAAACACCAGTTCAATACAAGAGAAGATATGATGAAATGGTAATATCCAGGATCACAGCGTGTGTGACCGCTCATAGGGGGATGTTTACTCCTAGGCGTTTATGTCCTCTTCAAAAATTTGTATTGTTGATAGATTTTTTGAGATCGATCACTATTCGTTATCTTCACCGTTTTCACTTTTTATAGTAAGGTACGGATCGATTATTTAATTTTTTATGCATTTTTCCACTACATTTCGTGAATACTTTTAAGAGACGTAAAAGAAAAGATTATCTGAGTATCTTTCTGTGTAATTTTAAACATAACATTCTTTTTTCTCAAAAGAAGTATGTTTCGTGTATTTTATTGTTTTTTAAAAAAATAAATCAGTTCTATGTTTTTTTCTGGTAGTAATTTTGTTAAATGCTAATATTGATAAGTCTTGCTTCTTTCAAAATAAAATATTCGTGTGGTCAAAAAACTTAAATTGTATAATGTGTGCGTTTAAAACTAGTTTCTTTTATCATAATTAAGAAAAAATTTAAACAGATTTGTAGATTCTTACCTGCTTATGACAAGAGAAGTTGATGCATTTCCTTTCTCTAGAAGCATATTTGCACCTTTCAATAAAGCCTCATCATTTCCAGATGGAATTTGAAAGACATCAATGTACGATTTGTAATCCTTTATTCATAAAACATAAATAACTTATGATGTAAAATGTATTTCATTTTTAGAAACAAACATTCGAAGTAAAAATAAGAGAATTAACTAGCAAGAAATCTTTAAACTTAGTCTTACGTCTGTTGATATAAGAAGACGATCTTGTTGGATACCATGACAGTCAAACCCATTATTTTTCGCACTTATGATAAAAGGATTACAGTGAAGCTTTTTTCCTCCATTAGGTAGCCAGTTTGCTTCCTTGTTATGATAAAAACTATTTTACATACATTAATTAAAATCTAGTAAAACTGAATAGAATTGTGATAAGTTTGTATAACATACCACTTCACCGTCATTCAGAACCACCATTGATTCGACTTCATGGTCCCTGCACAATCTCCACAAATCAACCTCTGTATCAGGAAGAGGCTTCTGGGTCACAATGAATCCATATAGGGTAGTAAAAGTCTGAAAGTTAAATCATATTTCATTAAATATTGTCTGTGCCACTTTTAGTCAACTACAATGTCAAACAAATTTAAAAAAAAAATCACATTAATGCCATGCATTCCTTTGATAAATCAAATTAGATATGGTTTAATTTTTATTTTTTTTTGATTTTTCGAATGAAATTTATGATATGAAGGAAGACAATTACATCATATCTTATAAAACAAAATTTGAAAGAAATATTGTTTACTTCATGATTGAAAAAAAAAGTAACAGTCATTAATTCCAGTAAAACCTTTTTCCCTTATAAGAGTGAAAATCAATGTTCCTTGTATGTTCATAAAAGTTGAAATTACGATACGTACGGAAACAAACACTGCATTGATGTAGTCATTTCTTCCTTTAACATAGGATGTTAAGTAAGGTCTGTATTTTGATGCTAAAAATAAAATTGCTGACTACTTAAAAAAAAAAAATTAATTGCATAGGTATAAATTAACCAAATTTTGATATTTAGTTAAAATCTCACCTGGCAAAATATTCATATCCACATTTTTTGCTCTGTTTGTGGGTTTCACAGCATCTTCTTTCATCACATTATCATAAAAGGGTTTCAAAGCCACTAACAACTGAAAAGCAATCAAATGTTAAATCATATGTATAATCATAAAAACAAGTTCAAAATATCAACACATTTTATGAACAATAAAGTTTAGTTTGTACCAAAATATAAAAAGATCTTATAAACGATTACAAAGGTTTGGTTCGTAAACTTTCTTAATTTATATTACCTGAAACTCTTTGTTCAGTTTTTGTTGATTAAAAGGTGATGCATCGTTCAGAAGGGTGAGTACTTTAGCTTGAAGATCACGTTCAAAGATCACAGTTTCTTGATCTTGAAATCCACAGAGTAATGCTTTATACAAGAATACATACTGCTCCTACAGATAAAAAATCTAATATAAAGGTATGTGTATGATAATCGGAGGGAGTGGATATTTTCTAGTACGGAGCAAATTGATACAATCCATTTTCATATATTATATTTAAACATATACTGTTATCTTACAACTGTTTGAACCATGTTCATACGATCCTCTCTCATTTGCTTTACAAAATCAAAGACATTGATCCACCCCGTTTCTCTTCCTTGATGTAGTAACACATTCAGACCAATATATGTTCCTGTTCTGCCCACTCCGGCACTAAAATATCAAAGTTCATATAAATGAATGTGTATCTAGTTGCATACTATATATATATTCTGAATTTAATTATTTAAATGTGCTAGAAGAAATCTCAATCAAATTATATGTAAAGAAGAGAAATAATTCGAACTAAAAATTGCAGAATATTTAAGGAAAATTTTCGATCAGTTCCAAATAACTATTACCAATTTCTTTCTCTTTTTTTTTTTTTTGGAAAAAAGCGAGACAAATGTGATTAGGTAGTTAGAGAGATTTGACAGGAAAATGCGATCAACTTCTCGGGAATGTTTTCATGAAAGGGCAACACATTTTACCACCAAAATCTCAAACGATTATATATAAATTGAAATTATTTTAGGTTTATCGAGGACGCATTATCATTCAAATTTCTTATTTTCATTGCAAAGTCGACTCTATATATATATACCTATCATATCGAAATAAAAGATGCCACAACGTCTGATACATCTGTTTCTTTTTTTTGTTTTTTTTTTTAAAGAAAAATACACTAATAGGCTAATGGTAACCTACAAAACTCATGACATACGTGCACGTGATGACTTTAATTTTTTTATCATCAAAGTCCCTTATTTTTAGTAATATACCTCCATCACCTGAATATCGAGTTTTTGTCTGGCAGTTGATTCGATTTCTAAAGCGAGTCAAGCTACTGACAAACAAGATGATGAAACAAGAATACCAAAAGTCTTAATTAAGCGAGCAATTAGCAAAGCCTATGGTAAATACAATAAAATGGTCAACAGGTACAATTCAACATTATATCGAATTCTGCTTCTCATTTATTTTCAATTTTCATCTAAATTTGCTCGGTTATTATTTACATACGGAATTGTCTATGGAATTTTCCATTTGCCCGAATAAGGCAATGAGCACTCTGCGTGTGTGACCGGTCGACAGGGGATGCTTACTCCTCCAAGGTACCTGATCCCGACCCTTATGTTTTTGTTTTTCGTGTTTGTGCTGTTACCTATTTGTATTTTCCAATGGAATTTTGACCTTGATTACTCTTCCTAATCTCCATATTTCATTCTGATCATGCATGTAGAAACATGTTCTGAATTCATTTTAATCATCTGTTCAAATTATACCTTATAATGTATACAGGACAATGATGACACAGGATCACATCTCTCTGTTTTTACAGGTCTTATCTGCTCATAATTCATACTGTTTTAATGTTCTTTTGAGAATGATCATTGCTCGTCATCTTCACAAGAAATATATACTTTTTGTAACATGATTATTTGCAATGGATTGTACAGTTTACAAACATTTTTCATTTATGTATGATATGTGATATGTATTTATGTAAAAACAAGATTGTTTGTTTAACATCTTTTTGGAAATTTTTACTCATACTGAGTCACCACCACTTGCCGGTGTATGGCTGAAAATTGTACTCGACGTTTCCGACCTTTGAGCAGCGAAAGGTCTTTTCCTTGCCAGCACCTACTGCGGCATGGGGCCTCCGTTTATACGTCCCCATGCGAAGTATCGGTCTCAACATCTCAACTTTTTACTCCACGACTCTAGAACACTGCGCCACGCGGGCAGCTAGTTTCTTATGAAGATATATAAAAGTACAATTTATTGCAAGATTCACATTTTATCCTCCTTAGAATGTTTATCTGTTTTTGTGTACTTGCATAAAAAATGACGCCCACGACAAACCCATTCTATACCAATACCATTATACTATTGCCATTGTTAATTGTTTCTTCACAAATCCGATTTTTTTTCTATTGAAGATTTAAGTATAATAGAGATCGTTATCGCCACCGACCTGCAGTGAACCAGTAATGGAGATCTAGCTTGGTAAATTTTGATAACAGTTCTGTGGAACTGAATAATTCCTATCTCCTCTGGAGTGCCATGATCTGGCCAAGCTGTGTAATGGAACTGTGTGATTGTTCTCAAGGAGTTTGACTGTAATGAAATTACAAAAAAAGGATCTACATTAACGTCTTGGAAACTCAACCGCCAAGCAAGACATGCAATTAGATTCTCAAACATAAATAAATAAAGTTGAAGATAACGTTTATAAACTAAAATATTGCCATTCTATATTTCTTCTACATGTAGGTAGCGCTTTTATAAAACGTGTATTCAATACTTGAAGTGGGTATGTTTTGAATGTAAAGTATTTAAGATGTACGTTTTCTCTCTGAAGTGAGAACTTCCGAACAGTAAAGAAAGCATAGGTAGTTTCTTCCAAAAGGCGAATTTTACATGGACCGATGTTCATAGAGCGATCTTTATTGGGCCAGTACTCCTTGCATTTGTTCTATAAAAATGGCTTGATTATGAATACATGTTATATTCAATTAAAACAATCACATAGGACCTAAAACAAATTGGAAAAAAGTATCAGTCATTAAAAGAAACAAGATGAATAAATCAACAAACGTACATAAGAAAAGATTTTCACTGGAACATCTGATTTATATCATACATCAGCATACCTTCCCATTTTCTACAAGATTTGTCAGCATAAGAACGAATGCAATATTCTCTTGCCATATCATTCTCCAAAAGTCAATAATTGTATTCTTCTGAGGACCTGTATGGAAATATAGGTTCATTTTCTTTTAAAATATTTAAGATGGATAACATTGAGGATCAACAGCTGAATACTTGAAATATTTATGCTATGGGAAAAAAGTCCATCACAAAGAAATCAGCAGGCATGTTTACGAAATTTTCCTAAGATTGTTCCTAAGAAATTTCCTAAGACATATCTTAGGAAAATTTTAAGATCATCCTAAGATTTTCTTAAGGTGTTTCTTTAGGTGTTTTTCAAAGCTATCTTAAGAGTATCCAAAACTAAGACGTCTTAAATCATTATGATAAAGAAATACGCAAAGTTTTAAACCATTGTCAGGAATCAGAGAGTGGTCATTTTTACCATGTACAGGTTATGTAGATCATAATAATGAAAATATTTGAAAGAGTAAAAATTAAAAAAAAAAAAATTAAACATTTTTTTTAAATCTATAGATATAAATAATATGTTTTTTTTAAATAATCATCTTATTTCGACGATATAATATTGACTGTAATTAAAATCAAATAGATTTCCATTTGATCATTCAAAATTCTTGAACCATGAAAAGCGCGCCAATTTTCTCCGTGGAAGTCTTATTCATTGACAATTTCTGTTCGACAAGAAAACACCCAGTAGGATGAGTCGAAAGAGGAGTTCTATTTTTGTCCAAATTGAAATCGAAATACTGCTTGATGAGATGGAGTAAAACAAAGCCATTTTATTTTCAAAGTTTTCCAACGTATATCTACAAATTCCTCAAAGAAAAGAACATGGGAGGCAATATGTGAGAAAATCAAGAAGGCAAATAATATCGACCACTGTAGGACAGTAGAAGATGTTAAGAAGAAATGGTCCTCTTATATGAGTGAGACGAAAAAGAAGGCTGCGCAAAATCGCAGGGAAACAGGAAAACTGGAGGAGGCCCCCACCCCAGGGACTAAATCCTACGCAGGAAAAATTGTGGGAATAATTGGTTGTACCTTAATTTCTGGCATAGAGGGCAGTATCGACACCTGTGAGGTTACCGAAGAAAACGGTACAGTAACGTGTAAACTCTCTCTCTCTCTCTCTGAAGTGAAATTCAATAGTTCTATTTTGTTAGCAGGTTAAATCTTACTATTTTTGTTGTGCATTCGCGTGAAGCACTGAATATCGGAAGAGTTCTAACCATTGGTATTCTTGGAAAGTAGATTCATGCAAGCACGTAACATCGGGGGGTGGGGAGGGGGGGCAAACATAGCTTTTTTTACATTGTACCATTGAAAATGTTCATTGAAAGACCGGTCCCCCTCCCTCCCCACTTTTTGGTGCAGTATAGTTAAAAGGGTAATGCAATAGGGAATATAAAATGATACTGAAAGAAATTGGAACCTAACAACCCAACCCCCCCCCCCCCCCCCCAATCAAATAGGATTTTCGAGTTAGGAAAATTTTCTTTTCTTTTTTTGCATGACAAGTTTTTTCAGATAAGTTGAATTCTTTTTCGCCGGCTGTCCCCTTCCCTTTCAAAAGCAAGATATACTACGTCCCTTGCATGTGCAAATACAGTATACGTATAACTGTGTAATAATTCAACATCTGTAGAAAGCACATGATATACATACAATTCCAAAAAAAAAAAAAAATCCATGATTTTCTCTTTTTGTTTTGTTTTGTTTTTTTTAGATATATTGAGCGTTGAGTCTGCATGTTCAGGTGACAGTACATGCACTAGTAATGTGCCGCAATGTGATTTGCCAGTTTCTCGCGACGAGTCCGTTGAATCCGGACCCTCAAAGATTAGGAAAAGGGAAAAGACAGTGAGGATATTTATGAAAAAAAGTTATTGAGCATTGAGGAGGAAAAGCTTTCAATCATGAGACAGATGCTGGAGATTGAAAAGGAACGTTTGGAGTTAGACAGACAGAGACTTAATATAGAGACACAGTGCATCAAGTTTACTTAGCCAAGCATGGTGTTACTTTTGAATGAACTAATATATAATTTGCACAGATACCTACATGACAGTAAACGATTACTTATGGTTCTTTAAAATTATTTTTGTAATTGATTTACTGGTACGTTCATCATTTGACAGAATGATACACACAGACTCAACCCAGAGAGAGAGAGAGAGAGAGAGAGAGATTTTGACTCGCATACTCCTATATCATATTGATAAGAACAAGAAACACTGCCTTTGTTTTAATTTGTAATACATATAATTAAATTATTCCTCTTGATGCGAGTGCATTGCAGAAGTGTGTGAGAGAGCAACGAATGACAACTCTGCATATGAAATTGAGGGAGCGGTGGGTGGGGTGGGGGATAGAGAAATATACATGTATTTTGAAATTGTTCACATAAATCATGGATTAAGGGTCTTGAAAGCCTATACCTTCTTATAATAGCTTCATCATCAAGGTAGTCAAGAGGTTATCAATATCTCTAAATACTCTGTCACGTCTGATACGACGATTTCGTCGAGCCAGCAACAACATGGGCGCGGCCATTTTTGCTTAAGATAGACTTAAGATATGTCAAAAGCTGTCCTAACTTTAAGATAATTCTGAAGAACTTTCTTAAGTTAGGATACTTTCGAAAACCCCACTTAGTCTTAAGAATTGTCCTAAGTATATCCTAAGACGTTTCTTAGTCCTAAGATAGCTTCGTAAATATGCCTGCAGGAATATTTTCTTTTATTATGCAAGTTTTCAAATAGGATGAGTGGTGTATTATTATACAAAAAACGACTTGGGTTGAGGGCAAAATTGATTTATTTAGCCCCTTATCCTGAGAGATGAAATACTGCCCGTCACGGAGCGGAGGTCACGATTTTTGTCCAGAAGGGGCTTACATACTCAGTGTGTCTCAAAAACATTCAAAAATATGAAAAAGAAACAAATTGATAAAACAACCTTTCGTTTTCATTCATCTACATTCAGCTGTATATCGAATGGCTTATTCTACACGTTGCTTGAAGTGCTAGCGCTTCTTCAAGTTGCAATGACTCTATTATTTGTATTTTCAATGTGATGTTTTGCTTTTCGGAAGTCGCGATGGATTTTTGTCATAAAATCAGGCTACCTATCAGAATCAAAATCAATGATATGGTTGAAAAATTTTCTTTACTGGTCAATAGTAAAAATTAAATGACTGTAAATATTTTTTTCAGAAGAGCAAATATCAATTATGTTGCCTGTTTCTCTATATCGAGAAAAGAGGGGCTATTATTTACTGAATATAACAAAGATTTATATTAGCATCAATTCTAATTTAATTAGATGTCACTTTCAGATAAAACTTGATGTATTTGCATTTCTGCTTCCAAACAAACAGAAAAAAATATTCTTGATCAAAAGATTGGATACTGAAACTGTAACACTGCTCAAGTGATGCATTTGTGAAATAACTCACAGTTGATAAGACAAAATGTTTAGTTTAAAATAAGAATAAAAGACGAGAAATAAGAAAGAAAATATAATTTAAATCTGCTACCTTGTGTTGCAATGAAGCGATTTTCCCCGTATAAATCCTACAAAGATTGATTAAACACAGTAAATATAACAAACAAATAAGTATAAGACAAATGAATTTGATAACCCTTAAACAAAATATTACCCTAATATAATTTGCGTTTATATAGTCATTGTCATCTTTATTCCATTTTTCTTTAAGGATTACTCTGGAATGTTCATCTACAACAAAAGTATATTTTATGCAATTCCACATACGATAGCCAACTGCTTACTGCCAACTGCTCACTGCTTACTGCCAAATGCCACTGCTTATAGATGATATTGCCTATTTTGTTATCTTAATAGCTTTAATGCGCATACTTGAATAAATCATATCACAGCAAGAAAAGAACTGCAAACGGTAGTAATGGCGTAATATCCTTTTTTCACTTCGCGTTATTACGCCTTTTTCCGCGTTGCATTGCAGAAAAATAATTCAGTATCTTTATTAACTGGGGGGGGGGGGGTGGTGGTGTTAAAGGCGTATATAAAACGTCAGGTAAAACGGAGGAGGGGTGGACAAACTTTTAGTAGAATCTTTGGGTAACATTTGTTGTATTTATACGAGAAATACTACTGAAAATTATAATATAGGGCATTTTATTCTTTTTAAAAATAGTACATCAAATGCAAGGAAGCAATTTCAGGGGGGGGGGGGTGCATAACGAAACGAAAATCCCTTGACAGGTAAATAAAAAGATCACAGGCGTCATTATTGATAAAGCATAACTGTATAGTATGTGTTGGCAATTTATTGTGAACACCTTAGCCCCCCTCCCCCTTCCACAATCACCACCAATGCTTCTACAGACCAGACGTTATCCATTAATTCGATTTAAATACAACACACACACACACACACACACACACATATATATATATCGTTCTTTTGTCGTATGTGAACCCCCACCCCCGTCAAAAAATCGAATCATCTGCCTGCAAGGAAATGTGGGATTTAAATTTTTGTTTTTATGAGGAAATACGCCTTCCGATATACTCCATCCTCGCCTTCACAATTTAAAAATTCCTGCAGTGAACATGCCAATATTTGTTTTTATTGTAACTCGTCAACAGTTTACATCCATTTTATTCAATATCAATGGCAGTTTGGCCATTAAAACTTGCTTGATTGCAAAGAAGAGTTCAATAGTAATGGATAAATAATTTTAAAAAGTAAATTGCTCTTATTTACAATCTTTTCATAAGAGGGTGTTCGAAAATTTTATCAATTGAAATCGGGCTTTAAGATATAACCAGATTTTCATATACTCATGGAAATGGATAAATGACCCTCAAATCACTCCGTATATTTAACTTATCATGTAAAAGTCAACATATTAGATTGATAAAGTACATTTCTTTTAAAATTTGTAATCTTGTTAAAATTGGCAATAAAATGACTATTTTTACTGTTTTTAGTCAGTAAACGTGTTCTACAAACAACCCCCCCCCCAACACCCCAATTCCCCTGAAACAACAAAACCATTAGTATGAATTTGTGAAATGACAATTCATTAAACATGTAAAAAGGAATTGTTGTTTCATGGGGGGGGGGGGGTTTAAGAATATTTTCCGTTGATTTTTACAGTAAAAAAAAACCGACAAGTTTTACCAAAAATATAGAGTCATCTCTCTTTATTTTCCCAAAAAATTACGTTTTATTATGAAAATTCACATAAATATCTATATAAGTATGGATAATCATTCAAATATGTTAACTTTTTAAATTAACTCAAAGATAGGCGGCAGAATATTACTATCGTTTGCAGTTCTTTTCTTGCTCTCATATGATTTCTTCAAGCATGCGCATTAAAGCTATTAAGATACAAATAGGCAATATCGTCCACAAGCAGTGGCAGTTGGCAGTAAGCAGTGAGCAGTTGGCAGGAAGCAGTAAGCAGTTGGCAGTGAGCAGTTGGCTGTCGTATATGGAATTCCATGATATTTTGCATTATTATTTTTTTTTTTTATACAAATTCCATTGATTAGAAAAGGACGATTTGTATATGTCAATATTAAATTTTGGAATACAAGTAGAATGTAGTAAAGTTAGAATATCATTTGGATGTGCTTTACTTTTCCATAAATGTAAAGGAATATTGCATTGTTTTCATATGAATTATTATAACTACGTAATTAAATTGAAATTATTGTGACTGAAATAAAAGGGAGGAAACTGAATTGGTAAGACATTCCTACAAGGAAATGTCGTTTTGAAACGATTCTTCGTAATGTTTTCTTTCTTCTGGGCAGTGTGACAGCTCTCTAGGTCTTCAGTTGGTAGTCTCTGTTTTTACGATAAAAAGAAAGTTATTCTCAAACTTAAATGAACCGGCTAAAAGCAATAATGCAAAAAGTACGATCAAAAGAATTGAGAATTTGCATACTTCTGGATCTTTTGTTTAAGCTGCTACATAAAGTTTTATAAATTTGAGCGTTTTCATATTCTCAATTTACAGTTAACGTTATTTAATCAACAAACAATAAGTACATACGTAACATTCATTCGTCAATAGTATTAGTGTATCATATCTTTCTAAATATGTAACTAATATTCATGAAACAAGAATATTCTTCCTTTCGCTTTAAACTTCTTCATATTTGACTCCAAAAATCTCATTCTACCTTATATTCCAGGTAAAACAAAGATTTTTCACCAGCACTTTTTGCTGCAATGTAACTCTGTAGTTCCTCTATTTTAACATCATGGCTGGTTTGGATTGCGTTGTAATATACATTATCAACAGCATAGTCCAGACTTGTCAATTGATCTTCATTTGATGATTGGGCCAAGTAACCTATGCAGATTAGGTTGTATATTTATATACGATGAATTTAAGGTTAGAAAGAATAAACAGCTTATTTTTGTTAAATTTATCAATCCTTGATTATCACACTATAATTAAAAATACTCATAAAGCAGCTGGTCAGACAATGATTTATTGCATATGGGCGTTAGTAATCTTTCCTATTTAATTTCTATGTGATTCCAAAACTATCTTACAAATTCTCATATTATAATATACATTACATATGGACAATGTATCTAGATATAAGCATGCAATGGGTGCTTTTTTTCTCTTATTTTAAACAAATGATATGAGTGACGTCACTTTGGCCGAACTCTGGAGACCCGTAATAGAAGAATGAGAAGAATGTACGTCTTTTTGTTAAATTTTGTTATGAAAAGTTAAAAATAACCCCCTAAATCTGACGGTCTTTTTTCTTTGTTCTCTTCAACTTCTCCCTCAGATATCACTGTCAGGCTTCTTGTATCAGTTGATACATTTTTCAAGTTTCGTCGTCTTCAAAGGATAATATAATTAAGTGTATATTCCATTGTAAAAAGCAAACAAACATATATTGATTGAGCAATGCTTAATTCATGTAGATCTTTTGAAAGTCATTTATAGACTACACGTGCATCATTTTAGTAATTTTACAAAATACTTTTCATATTCTATTTTATAACAGGAAGCAGTTCTATGTATATAAAGAACTAATAGAGTTTTCCGTAGGAAATGTAGAATATTTTTCTAATCACAGAACACCTTTTTCAACAATTGTGAAACAACAAAAACTCTATCTAAGCAATATACCTTTGAAGTACAACTATGCAAATCACAAAACCCGCAGAAATAGTTAGTGCTATAAGGACCCCTCCAACAATCAATCCTAGGTTACTTTTAATTTCCAATGATAATTCTAAAAGAAAGGTGATTGTCATAGTAAATATTTATTATAGAATTCAATTAGTTATTTTTGATACATCGAATAACTGTTTTACAAGAATTAGGACGGTATTCATAATCTCAGAAAAGGTACTGATTATTTTTTTTTAATCGTCTGATTTTATTTTTGTGTATCTTGTAGTACTACCAATGACTTTATATAGATAATCGGAATAATTCTGGTATATTATTAAGCATCTCGACACATACCATCACATCTGACACCTTTCCACTCCTCCTGACACCCAGTGAGACAGTGTCCGTTGGTTTTGTTACATGTACTTTGATTGCAATTTCCACAAGCTTCACCACAACTGGATCCGTAAAATCCATCTTTACATTCTGAAATGCATTATCTTACAAAAGTTTATTTACTGATTTTTATTGCATCAAAATCTAATTATTCGAAATATTTGAATACCTTGCATGAAACAAATATCAAAATGTACGATGCAAAGAATAATAGCTTTAAATGAAGAAGAAAGACCCAAAAGAATGTTAAATCTTATTTTTCTTTAGCATAACACCAGTCGCTTTAAAATAAAGTTACTGTCTCACATTTTTTTTTTTATTAAAGCTGGTACACATAGACGTAATAACATCTTTTTTACACAAATCGAGGGGATTGAAGCCGTTAGCGCAAAATATCACTTTTATTTTATTATTTACAAATACATTGTATTTTTGACAATATTCTTGTAATTATTTAAATGTGAATTGAATAGAGACAGAGAGAGAGAGAGAGACCGAGAGAGAGGGAAAGAAAACAAAAAACTGGATGACTCTTGATATAATTAAGTTCATAAATTACACACAATTATTATCGCAATTGGGTGTGATATATTGCGAATTTTAAAATATTTTACCAAGTTTGCGATTTCATTAGCATATTTAACATGTTTAAGCTGATATATTGTAGAATCATATACCATCGCAGTGAGAACCGTTCCAATGGATATTGCACCCGTCTTCACAAACCCCTGTCACATTGTGGCAATATGTTCCAGGTTTACAATGACCACATTTACTTGTGCAGTTCTCCCCGTAAAACCTATCATCACACACTAAAAATAATTAAAGTAAAATATTAAAACTATATCATATCAACTGAAATGAAATATTTAAAAAAAATTACAATAATGATTAGTTTTCAGGTTTTTGCATGCAAGCTTGACAAAAATGTTCTTCAAACAACAAATTCAACAAAGATTTATTTCGGTGTCATACTATGAAAATAAGATCAAGACTAACCGTGGCATCTTGATCCACTCCAGCCATTCTGACAGCCTTCATGACAAATTCCTGAGATACGGTTACATACAGTTCCAATTTTACACTTGCCACATGTGTGTGCACAGTTTTGCCCATAATAGCCATCTTTACAAGCTATGGCAAACGTTAACTAATTAACAAGCTTGCAGGAACAAGAAAATAACCAATGAAAATAATAAGTACATAATAATAATATCTTATCTAGATTGCCCATTCCATTCCTGCATGTTTGTTCTTGGTGATCTTATATTCCCATCCAAGATATTTTTTTTTCAATGAAATATAAAATATTTGATTTTTTGTAGCAAACAAAAACAAACAAACAAACGAACAAAAGGAGAACTCAAAGCTGAATCAAAAGGAAAATGCTGATATGAACGCTGAAAAATTTGACTAAACTCCTTAGTCGAAGAAAAAAAATAACCCTCTAAAAATTTTAAAATGATATATCTTTTCAAGTATACTTTGTTCATTTCCTCTTAAAAAAAATAAATAAATGGCGGATCTTAATTGATTTTTTTTTCCATGCAAGACACTGTAGATATTGTCCTCAGCAAAGAGAAAGTAGTAATATAAAACGAATTTGCGTTTTCTTGTAAAATTTCAGTGCATCCTTTTGCATTTTTATCTTCGCGATCCAACTTTCTGAAATACTAAGCATACAGAAATAAATATATCTCCCTACACATTTTTTGTAACAAAAGACATATCTTATTTAACAAGAAAATATTTGCAGGTATTTCCAGGTACTTCTAGAGCCACACAACCGTGACATAATAAAACGTATGTAAAATTCCGGGTTCATATAGCCAAGGGTGTTCGACTGAAGGACAACCGAAACATAATAAACCAACTTAAAAAAATTATATATCCCCTTCGTAATATATATATATATATATATATATATATATATATATATATATATATATATATATATATATATATATATATATATATATATATATTTCATTTCACTATACATTCCATATAAACTTTTCATACTTTAAACATTAATACAACACGCTTGTTCTAGACTTTTTTTCTATATGGTAAGGTTTACGTTCGCTACGGTGTAGATACGTGAAGAAAAGATAACGGCTCTAAGGTATTCTAAGATATTAGTCACTTGTCATCCATTGTTTATATTACGATTCAGTACGCTTATAAAAAGTAGGAAAAGCAGCTCTAACGTATTTCAGCATAATCGTTTGGTTGTTGCAAGAAAAACGGTCTCACATTCTTCTCTTCTCAACATATATGGTTTTCCACAATATATGATACCATTTCATGATTATGTAAAGCATTATTAAATGAACTTTAAATTACAACAAATGCATTACAGCTATGGCATATTCTGTCCACTTTCTTTCACACGAATTGATTGACACTAAAAGGAAAAAAAATGAGTTCACAATGAAAATTGCTTTTTGTTTTTAAATGATGTCCTCTAAAGGACATTTTACCTGGGTAAGGATCATGTCTACATGGCACAAAATTCCTTTAGATATCACTATATGTTTCAGTGGTTATTTCCTGAATTTTCATTGGGATGTACATTTTAGATACGTAAAGGATTCAGATTATAGTTAAGAAACAGTAACCTAGGACTGGGTTGTTAATAAAAGTTTCAAAAAGAGAGTTTCTCGCTCTTGAGATAAACCCCTTTTAACTGAGATGCAATTTTTAACAAACTTTTTATGTAATTTTGTGGCAATACGTTTCCAATTGTGTGAAAAAGTCTTTATTGTAATGTTTTATTGCTAAAATTGCATTTATTCTTCTATGGGCATGTGTTTCTTGCAGTTATTTCAAATGTTTTCATATAATTGAAGACACCCTGTACATTTGTAACATTATGTTTGAATAAATTGATTTTGCGTAGCGTAGTTTAGTGTTGCATAAAAGATCGAGATTAAAAACAAATACAACAGATACTTGTAATCGTGAAGTTTTTGTGGATTACAAAACATACAGCGCCCGCGTGGCGCAGTGGTTAGAGCGTCTGCTCTAGAGTCGCGGAGTAAGGAGTTGATCCTAACGTCGCGGGTTCGAATCCCACTGTGGGACGTGGAGACCGGTCCTTCGGATGAGACCGTATAAACCGAGGTCCCGTGTCGCAGTAGGTGCTGGCACGAAAAAGATCCCTCACTGCTCAATGGCCGTAAGTGCCGAGTATAGGACAAAATTTGCAGCTCTCCACCGGCAAGTGATGGCGTCTCCATATGAGTGAAAAATTCTCGAGAGAGACGTTAAACAACATAAATACAAACAAACAAAACATAGTTTTTTTAAAATAAATATTTAACAACTATCGATAAGTTGCTATATTTGATCCATGATTTTTATAGAAAATAAAACCATGATTATGTCTGAATTTTCCTAATAAAAATGACGTCTATGAAATTTTGCGGCAGAAATGAAATATGCTTACTGAAATTCCGTATTGAAATTGAAATTTGGTGCAGAGTCTCTGGCTAAACTTTGCTTAAAGTACCTGGAATTTTATATCTGAATTTATTCCTTCAGGAAATCACCCTTGGCTACATTGTATATAGAATCCTTTGTTAAAATACCCTATTTATTATCTGCCGTCGAAAGTATGTTTGTAAGAAATTAATGTATATAATGCTAACAGTTCAATGTATATATGGAATTAAAATAATAATGCTAAAGTGTCTTAAATTATATTCTTTCTAAATGAAAGGAATTTCCTCACTAGAACAGTCTGGTGGATACACGAAGTGGTCACTACAGCCGTATATACAAGATCCATCAAAGGCATCACACTGTCTGTTTAAACAGTTCGCTGAACATAATTTACAGGGGTCTCCGTAGTGTTGAAACTTACATCCTAGAGGAAACTAATCAAATGTCAATTCATGTTGAGTAGAGACTCAAAAAGGAATTAAGTTCATTTTATAGTAGATGCTACATAAACTGCTTAATTTTTTTTTAAATATTGTCAATGTCCCCTTTAAATAGTGCAGTACTTACCCATCACCATTACTTCACAGACCTCAATGGTAGCATATGACGGTTCGTATCCTGTACAGCTTGTTTGAAGTGGAGGGTTTTTTGAATTAAATAGAGCTATTCCTCTTGTCAATTTATTTATTGTCACATTCATCACTTGGTTTGGACAGGAAGATTTGTTATGAGAGAACACATTATATCCACCGGTAGATGGCGGTATATACCATGACTCATTGAACACATATACTGAGAATCCAACATGACGATTCACAGCTGATATTGAATGACAAAATGAGACATTTAACTTCTAGATATAAAAATCAATTAAAACAATGCTTTTTGATACATTTAATCAAATGTTAATTATTTAATATGAATATAACCAACTTAGGACTATCCATTTAATCAAAAGTTGATAATTGAGTATGAATATAGCCAACTTAGAACTATATCAAAAGCTACTTTTCTTTGTCTTTAAAATTTATTTATGTAACGAATAACATTAACAATCGTAGCACATCACAAAAAATAATCTTTTAAAACCATAAACATTCCTATAAGTACGAGGGTTGTCCAAAAAGTTCGCGGACAATGGCGTTTTTGTCAAAATGAATGGTTCAAGATATGCTTATTGTATACCAATATATTAGTCATGAAAATCCAAGTCGGAATAGTTTGGTTTTTATTGTTTGAACTTAAGGTATGTCACTCGTGAAATTTGTTATATCAAGGATTTTTTGAGAAGTATATTTTGGATAAGTACTCATACAGTATGACTCAAAATCGCAGAGAAAGTGGGGGGTCAGTGTGCATCTAACTGAGCTACGGTACAATTAAGTTGACCTTTTTGCACTTAAATTGTAACTCTTTGGTTAATCACTTTAACAGGTTGGGCACACCCCACCAACTGGTCATTTATCTCCCGTTTGGTGGACGATCTCCCATATCGGAGACGAATTTTACTGACCAAATGGTGGACTTTTTTATTCTATTCCAAATTTTATTAAAATAAAGCAAAAGCGCATTTACTTAGGCATTGGGGGATTTTAGTGAACATATTCCTTCCATAATTAACATAGTTCGGTCGATTTTCCATGTGCAATTTCTCCATAACTTCCTACAAACGATACCTATAGTTGTCCGACAGCCGGACTTCTTGATCAATCGATCAAAAAAATTTTGATTGTGTCTAGTAGGATAAAAATTCTATTTTATCCAGTGGTTTAACTCTTGATAAGTTTAGTTTCAATCGCTTTTTGGATCTTCGTCAATATTTATTTCCATAAAATCCCGTTAAACACAAGCTCCTCATTACTTTACTGGTATGGTGGGCACTTATTGCTATAAAGTTAAATTTTTCTAGATTTGAACGTAATATCTGTTGTTATTTTTCTTTTAGGATGAAGTTGCATATTCCATGTGACCTTTTGTGGTTTGATATGTATATTACTGATGAATTTGATATTATTTGATAAATAATTCTCAATAAAAGATTTACAAAGTGACTTTTGCAATTATTCTTGTTTTCGTTCGAAGTACATCGTTTTAAAACAATAATTATATCATATTCTAACTTACTATTTTTATAGAGAACAAAGCTATTGCGTACAAAATAAAATGATATAAAGGCGAAAACTTATTTTTCTTTTGATTTCCTAATTGAAAATTGACACAAATGTGCCTCCATAGTAATATCCGACTTTTGACCAGGTTCAAAAAAGATCATCGTTTTATTGGTTTGCATTATTTGATTGGTTGCCCGGATAATCGAAATAGAAAGTAACGAACATGATTGACAGGTGCAACATCGTTGGAGAAGGAGGGAATTTTCTTTTTAAGCAAAAACGGAGAAACGTTGCACTTGTTTACGTACCTGACGTTTATTGTCAAATTTTTGAACGACTCTGCGCAAAAAATTACACGTTGAATTTCCGATTTTTTTCACTCAGAACACCGATAAATATCTATATTTTATTCCACATGGTTTAAAATTATGCGCCATTCCACGCCATTCTATGGAATTGAACATAACCATTTTTCTCTCCCAAATGGTCAGTAAAATTCATCTCCGATATGGGAGATTGTCCACCAAACGGGGGATAAATGACCAGTTGGTGGGGTGTGCCCAACCTGTTTAACCGTTATCATATTTTATAAGATGTAACCATGGCAATAAACATAATCTTATTTTACGTAAAATAGTATGAATAATATTTATCATTGAACAAATCATGCAAATTAATGCGCGTAAATTATTGTGTGACCTTTTTGCACTAAAAAAGTATCATATTTGGGGTATTGAAAATCTAAATAGGCAATAGAATATTTTCTTGTATCAAACTTTTTACGACTTAAGTGTTGATCGGTCAAAAGTATCGAGTAGTTTAAAATAATGAAAGAAAAAATTGGGGTCAGTGATATAAATTTTGAAATATTGGTCAAAATATGCGATTTTCAGGCAAAAAACTGTGTAAATTTTATCTCGACTTCCTCAATATATCTTCATTTCTTGGCAATGTTTGTTGAGCGAAGGTGTAAATTTTGTTATAAAAATATAAATTGAGACCTATATTTAATATTCCAGGCATATCATAACGGAAAATATTCTCTGAGTAAAAGTATGTGAGGCCAAAGTTCCAAGATATTAAATTTAATAAATGTGTAGATTTGCAGAATTTTCTGCTAAATATCCTTCCGCCACAAGAAATAGTCCCTTATAAATCTTGCTTCTTTGTGAATTTTTGAGCAGTTTTTTAATTGAATGTTGAACATTTGACATTGTTTAATTTAAATATGTTATAAAGATTGAATTGTAATAAATAGTTTTTAAGTAAGAGGTTCTGACTGAAATTTTCTAAAAGGCTGACGAGTGACATACCTTAATATTTTTGTAAAAATCTCGGTCATTAAAGGTCGCCGATAGTGCGCACGGACCAGGGTTAAAATGCCATGAACTTTTAAATAAAGTGATCTCATTGAAATGATTATTTTCTTTTTAAAACGAGTCAAAGCTGAATAAAAATGTAATATATCACAAATAAAGCTGTTATCGCTATTTGCTGATACCTTTAGTATCGTTTACTAAATAGACAATGAAAATATTAAGTGAAACCGCAAGAAATATGTTTCAAAAATTGACAGAAAAAGCGACGTCAGCCATCAGAACGGGGCAGCGTCCAATCATACAATTATGGTTAATATGGTTGAAACGTCGTCAAAAACAAAATATTTATTCAAACAACTTAAATTTATTGGAAATTATTTAGTCTAGTGATTTGTAATTGGTGTATACGATTTTTCAAAGGTGTGTAAAATTTCGGAGACTCTAAAGAAGTGGAGAACTACTGTTATTTGATGAAAATAGGATATATTCCTATTCATGGCGTTGTTATAAATATAGTGCCGTCGGGCTAGGCTGTGCATCCTGTGTTTACGAAGTGTTAATATTAATGACGCTCGTAAATTATTGTGTATTGTTTTGAATTTTAAAATTTAAATTAATTATAATCTATACATAAATATTATTGCACACATTTGGCAATGTGGCTAAATAAAGAAAAATAGCGTGCGTCTATGAACATGCGATAAAAATTCAAAATTCATATTTCTGACGTTATCATGAAAAAAGCGTTAACGTCAGAATAGCCCGTGCGACTTGCATATACAAAGTATTTACACCTATAATGTTCAGTAAATAGTGTGCATTGTTTTAATTTTTTGTACATTTACTCAATCATGGTCTAAATTAAGATATTATCGTACATGTTTGCCATTGCGGACTTAATAAAGAAAATTAAGCATTTGTCCACGAACTTTTTGGACAACCCTCGTAAATTAACAATATTTGGTTTTTCGGTTAGTAACGATCCAGAGAACTGTGTATAGGTAATCATGATAAGTTTGATAGATAATAGATCAAGAATGATTTCTTTGCCTCAATTCGACGCACATGGAATTTGATAAAGATCCCATAGATATTCAATAAAAACAAGCATTCTGAGAGTATTGCATTAGCAATACTAGTCCCCTACCGGCAAGTGTAATCTGGTTCCCGTTAAGAATTGAAAATGCCATAATTCCGTCAAAATTCAATGAAGCGGAACGAAATGCAAACTTGATCTGTAACTCATCAAGATACACTCACATACCAAAAATCAGCTCAATATCTGCAAGCGTTTAGGAAAAAAGTGCGGAAAACCAAGTGGGACAGACTGACAGACAGACAGAGGGACAGACAGACAGACAGACGGACAGACAGACAGACAGACGGACAGACAGACGGACGGACAGACTCAGAGGAAACCTATAGTCCGCTCCGGTTTCACCGGTAGGGGACTAATAAATAACACCAGAGCAAAGCTCGCTGCAATGCAACGAGTAGGTATTAAGTGAGAGCTGCGGACAGGAATAATGACCTTGCGTCACATTCTCGGGTGATCTGCAATCTTTTATAAGGTATCAAATTTTCATGTTTCACCAGTAGAAGGGCAGTAAATGAAATAAGTTTTTTTTTTCTGTCAGTGACCTTCGAGTTGTCTAAATGACCTTACAGCAAGGCAATAACACATACTGGTTATGAGCAATCCTAATCTGCTGGTTTTCAACTGGATAAAATCACCCCATGTTCTTTCAGAGCGTACGTCTAGTCAAAAACATTATATTTTCCATAGTCATTATAGTTTAGGTTCCAATCAAGGATTTAAAGATTTATGGTTAGTTTAGATATTGTAAATTATCGGCGTCTTTTGGGTTCGCATGCCTTAAATCTTTAATTCTTCTAAGAACAAGGTGCATTACGATACGCTGTTACATCTTGTGCTATAACGCAGGCCATATTGTCTACGTTATAACAAAATACATAAGTGTTTAATTTGGTACCTGCGTTCCATTATTTATGCTGATTTCATTTGAAAGCTAAAGATTTCTTAATATTCAAATCAATTAAGTGTTCGATGTACAGAATGAGGTACTGAAAATTTAGGAGCGTATCTCACCATGTATATCTTCAAAAGTCTAAATGAGACCTATTTTGTATTTATATGAAGCAGAATTTATTCAGAAACGTCAACATGAGAAGAAAAAAACACTTGCTGTGGCCTTCAACTCGACATTTCGATATATCAAATAGGTCTGCTTATAACGGGAACATGGAAATTCCAACAGTTTGTTGGAAAAGCTGATCTCCAAAATTTACATTGATATTGTCAAACAGAAACTCAAGCATCTGTTTAATTAGGGGTGAAACGATACACCTCCTTCTCGGTTCGATACGT